TAGCCTGTTCTTCCTTTGTCCTCCCAAGCATCACAGTGGTCACCTGGAATGTGGGTACAGCCATGCCCCCGAATGATGTGACATCCCTGCTGCACCTCAACACGGGCGAGACAAATGATGCAGACATGATCGCCATTGGGTAAGAGGGTGAGGTGCAGGGCCCCCTCCCCTGCTCTTCCACATCCCTTTTTTGGGATCCCCATAGCCCTGGGGGGTGGGGAATGGAAGAGCTGCAGCCCCAGCCTCCCCAGGGCATATTGAGCAGGGAGGGGTGTGCATCGCAAGCAGTAAAATATCAGAAAAGATGATGGAGAATCGGCTCCTAGTAAAATGGGAGTGTTAAGAGGAACTGAAACCCTTGAATCCTGAGTAGCCTTGAACCTTCGAAGAGCCTGTAGCTGGCTATGCCGCGCAGAGCCGGGCCTCGGCAAGCCCTGCTGTTGCTGTGAGCCCTGGCAGTCCTGGGGTCAGGCCTGTAGAGGCATTTAACGTCGCCTGCTGGAGTCCTCTGGGAGCGTTTTCCGCATCTCAGCTTTTGCCCATGGTATGCAGGCCTCAAGGGCACAAATCTGCTGTTCTCACAGCTGGATTTGGCTCCGTGCCCCTGGCAGCACTTAACTGCTGGCAAGGCAGCGCCGTGTCAGTGTGGTAAGGCTTTACTGGTGTGGCTGGTGAGCCAAGCTCTGCCGGAGTCTAAGGGAAAACCGATCCCTTAAGGTTTGCTGTGGTATGTGTGAATTCCTGCTAAGACCAGGGATGCGCTGCCTTTGCACAGGGAGCGAGAAGCAGCCTCTGCCCGTGGGCGTGAGGTGGAAGAGCTGGATCTGCCTCCAGGAGGCTCCCAGGGCCTCCCCCAGTGCTCCTCGCCCCAGGGAGGGAGTGGTGTAGGACTGAGGCTGCTGGAGCTACTATGTTGTGTTGGAGCCAGTCTCTTGGTCCCCTCGGCCTTGTGGACCAGCGGGATGGGGCTATGTGGGGCTGCAGAGGTCGTAGACCCGAGCCTGGATGGATGGGGCGGGAGGTGTAGCTTACAGCAAGGGACTTGCTGGGACTGTGTCCTGGCCGGGGCAGGGTGTCCTGCTGCTCCCCACCTCCAGGGCGTCTCTGCCTGGCTGCGTCCTTCCTCTGACCCGTGTCCTCACGCCCTGAGCACTTGATATTTTTGGGCAAGACGTTTCCTGATTCTGCCGTTCTCTGCGGACGTTCTCCTTCCCTCTTTTCACTAATTGCTGAGATGGGAAGAGCACTATTAACCTTCTGTTTGCTGCTGCTCTGGGCTTGGTGGCTAGGATGCAGGTGGACACCCTGTGCTGAAGTACCAGTGAGACTTGGCTTCTCTGTAGAGACCAATGCAGCTGGAATGTCCCATAAGCCCCTCTTGCACCTAGAGATAGGCTTTAGACTGCTGCCCAGCCCTCTGCAGCTGAACTGCTCCTGTTTTAGAAAGGGCCAAGGCCTCGTGGGTTCAGGGCCACTTGTGCCTTCTGCTAGCACATGGCCCAGCATCGCTGGAGCAAGGATATGGCTGGTTTGTGCTCTGAACCTAGGGTCCTCCCTTGAACTGCCCTTCCTGCCCTGGCCCCGCTCCCCAGCACTGTGCTTGGGCACCTCTCCCAAGGAGCCCTCGCTAGCTGGGACACGGGCACCTTCCTGGTGTGGTTGAGGAACCTCTCCCTTTCCTCCCAGGCTGCAAGAGGTGAACTCTAAGATAAACAAGCGCCTGAAGGATGCCCTCTTCACAGATCAGTGGAGCGAGCTCTTCATGGATGTGCTGAGCCCCTTCCACTTTGTCCTGGTAAGGAGGTCCCAAAGGGGCTGGGCAGCTGGTGTTCCCTCTCTGCCTGCCAGGCAGGTGGACCACAGGGAGGGAGAGCTGGACTGCAGGGACGGAGGGAGGAGGTGTGGTGGGAGGGCTGGCTGGAGGGACAGACTGCAGCCATCCAAGCGGCGTGTGGGGGCTGACCTGGGGGCTAGCGGTGCGTCTCGCCAATGTGCTGTCTAGCTTGTGCCACCCTGCTCCCTTTCCTGTGCCTTAGGCTTCCCCTGTGGTGCTTTGGGGACATTTCTTGTTGCCTGCTGCATTGCACCAGGGTGAGGAGGTGAATGTGGGAGCAAGCCTGTGCTTCTGGCAGCAGCCTGCGGGTCCCAGGGCAGGTTCAGCTCCCCAGGGCACTTGCCCCAGAACGCACATGAGCCTTAGCGTTGTTGGGCTCATCTCAGCTGTCGGTATTCAGGAGGGTGTGCATAGTCTCTGAACTAAATGTGCTGTTAGTCATCTGCAAGGTGGGGGGGCATGCAGAGAATGGAGGTGCTGCCCCTGTGGCCTGGAGGTGGGGGAAGCTGTCCCTGCCCCCATGGGCTCTGCTGTGGCTACCATCCTGCTTCAGCCTCTGCTCCCATTCCAGGTCAGCACGGTACGGATGCAAGGTGTGATCCTACTGGTATTTGCCAAGTACTACCACCTCCCCTTCCTGCAGGACATCCAGACAGACTGCACGAGGACGGGGCTGGGAGGCTACTGGGTGAGTGTGGCCCCGGGGGAGGTGGCAAGGGGCTGGCTTCCCGAGGAGTCATGGGATCCTCTCGGTGCAGGGCAACAAGGGTGGGGTGAGCATTCGTCTCTCCATCTTCGGCCACATGGTCTGCTTCCTGAACTGCCACCTGCCAGCGCACCTGGAGAAGGCGGAGCAGCGCAAGGAGGACTTTGCCACCATACTGCACATGCAGCAGTTCGAGGGGCACGTGGCCAGCGGCATCCTGGACCATGAGTGCGTACCCCACCACTTTGCTTCCCAGTCTGGGCCAGGGCTCTAGCGCCAGCCTCTGTCCTTGACTGCCTCCAGATAGGGTCTGGGGTCTGTCCTCCTCTGAATCCCAGCACAGCTTGGAGATGGGGTCTTGCCTGCAGAGCTGCAAAACTGTCCTGTGCCCCAGTTGGGGACCCAGCATGGTGGGGTAGGTGTTAAGAGGGGTCCTTGGTGTCTCCCCTGGGGCACATCCAGGCCTGGTGCAGCTCCTGCCATACTGGTGCTGTTGGGGTTTGGGACTGGTGAGGTGGAGGGCCTAGCTCCACCCCAGTGTCTTGGCCGTGTGGTCTGACTCTGGTAGGTGCCTCACGGTGGAAATTTCCACCCTCAATTTCTGCCCAGGGAAGTCAGGCGTGTGTGGTTAATGGTGCTTGGTCCTACCTGAGGAATCCTGGCGGGGCTGGCAGCTGGCCGCGTGGTTGGCTGAGCGCTGACCTGCGCTGGCGCTCCCGAGAGCGCCTGTGCTGCAGGCTGAGGCTGCCCGCAGGCTGAGGACGTCTTCCCCCTGCGGTACTGCCTGGCTCCTGTAGCCTCGGCCCCTCCAGCCCGTTGCCCTCCTTCCCACCCACAGCCTTGTGTTCTGGTTTGGGGACCTCAACTTCCGCATCGAGAGCCTAGACATCCGCTTTGTGAAGTACGCCATTGACAGCAACATCCTGAGCCAGCTCTGGGAGAAGGACCAGGTGAGAGGGATGGACATGCTGCTGAGCCTCAGCTGGGCCCTGAGTGGCATTCGGCTCTTGCCAAAACTGCCTGTGCAGCTGTGGGACAGGGCATGTCCTCTTGCTGCCTGTGGGGCACAAAGGGCCCTGGCTCTCCTGGCTCTGGGGGGAAGGGGCAGCACTGTCCCAGGATGGTCTTTATGGGAGCTGGGCACATGCTTCCTTTATCAGTGTGCTAGGAAGAGCTGGGGGCACTGGGTCTATGGACTTGCTGCTTGCATGGCATGGACAAACGCTGAGAGCTGTGTGGGGCTGGCAGCAATGGGGCAGGGATGACTCTCTGCTGGGGGTGGAGAGGTCTCAGGGGGCTTGCAAAGGAGTCTGGCCATGGGGGCTGGTGTGCTCCTCAACCTGCTCTCTTTCCCACAGCTGAACATTGCCAAGAGCACCTGGCCTGTCCTCAGTGGCTTTCAGGAGGGACCCCTGAACTTCCCACCCACCTTCAAGTTCGATGTGGGCACCAACAAGTATGACAGCAGGTAGGAGAGCAGAGCTCAAGCGTGTGCTGGGCCTGGGAGCTGGTGGCATGGCTGAGGGATGCAGGAGTGGCTGGGGCTCAGAGCCAGGGCGAGTGCTGGTGGGGCAGGGGCTGATGCCGGTGCGGATGGATGGGGAGAGCCATGCTGGGGCAGGCATGGGCTGGACCGGGCACGGCAGGCTGGGACACAACTGTTGTGCTGGTGCCAGCGCAGGTCTGTCCCTGCAGCTGCACTGAGCTGTGTGCCAAGACGAGCCGCATCCCCTGTGTGCCGTAGTGCCAGGGGGAGGCAGTTTGGGGTGGAGCCCACTGCCCCCTGCCAGGCAAGAGATGCCCCTCTGTGCCCTGCAGTGCCAAGAAGCGAAAACCTGCCTGGACTGACCGCATCCTCTGGAAGATCAAATCTCCCAGTGTCGGGCTTGGTGCGGGCAGGCGCCGGCCCAGCCGGGGCATCCTGTCAGTGCCAGCTCTGCTACTGCAGCCACATGGAGTACACTGTCAGTGACCACAAGCCGGTAGCTGCCATCTTTGCAGTGCAGGTAAGCACCGTCCAGGGCCACTGGGCACACAGGCAGGAGCTACAGGTGTGAGATGCCCAGCTAGTGTATGCGGAGCTTATTTTATTTTTGTTTGGCAAGCTCAGCTGTCTTGCCACTGTGGCTGGGGGCTGCTGGTGGTGTATGTGTGAGGGCCCGGCGCTAGATGGGTGCCCTGGGCAGCAGGGGCAGCTCTCTTTGGCATGCCCTTGCTCACCATGTATGTCTCTGATAGTTTGCTTCCAAGGCAGACAAGGCCCCAGTCGAGATTTATGTGGCTGACGAATGGAGCAGGCCTGAGCAAGCAGTTGTCAGGTACAAGATGGCTGCTGGCTTCCACCGGAGCTCCTGGGACTGGATAGGACTCTACCGGGTAGGGGCTTAGGGGCTGCTGGGGCTGGAGGGAGTGGGGAGCACTGCATGGCACCGCAAGGTCCCTTCTGAGCTACCTCCCACCAGTGGACATGAGTGTATGGCATGGACCTGTGCTCTCTCTCTTCCCATGGGAGGTCCTGGCAGTTAGCAGCAGGATTTGGCCCTGCTTCAGGAGGCTCAGATCCAGCAGTTCCCTCTCCCTCCTGCTCTGTGGGCCCCACAGGGTCCAAAGCCTGGCACTCCTGGGGGGCTGGGGCCAGGGCACTGTTGGGTGGGTGGAAGGCAGCTCTTGGTGCCCCTGTGCAAGGAGAGGGGGCTGAGCGAGAGGAGAGCTAAAGCAGGGCTGATGTTCCCCCACTCACCTGTGCTCTCCCATGTACATGCACACAGGTGGGCTTTCGGCATCCTAAAGACTATGTGTCCTATGTCTGGGCCAGGAGTGATGATGGAGAGCGCTGCCTAGAGAAGCAACTGTGTGCACAGGTGAGCTAGGGCCAGCCCTGCTGTCTTGCTGGGCACGTGTGCCCCATTGTGAGGGCCCTGATGGGGCAAAATAAGGAGGGCACCTCCTTATTGCTTTGTGCTGAGCCTTAGGCAGGCCCACTGTGCTGGCATCGGGGACTTCTGCTCTCAGTAGGGGCTGGAGGTGGGAGGGGGCACCCCTGTGCCCAGCCCTGGTGCCCATCAGCTGTCTCTGTGCTGCAGGTGATGTTCTCAGAGGAGGCGCTGCCCAAGGGGAAGGGCGAGTATATCCTTGGATACTACAGCAACACCTCCAGCAGCATTGCTGGTGTGACTGAGCCCTTCCAGGTCAGCATGGCCAAGAGGCGAGGGTGAGGGGCTGAGGGAGGCAAGGGGAATGGGTGTAGGGGTGCTTGGCTGGAGGAGGCCAGCTGCTGTAGTGCCCCACAGCCCCCTGTGAGGATCAGCCAGCAGTGCTGATGCAGGGGTGCAGATCTCCCTGCCCAGGTCAGAGGAGGGCAGCAGCCCCACGGACAGCTCAGGCAGCAGCTCAGAAGAGGAGGATGACAGCACGCTTGTCCTGCTGGCCCCCAAATCTCGTAGCCCCAGCCCAGGCAAGATGAAACGGCACCGGAGCCGAAGCCCCAGCCTGGCCAAGTTCCAGGGCCTCATCCTGCGGCCGTCAAGACGGGACAGGGGTACAAGCCGCAGCCCTTCACCCCAGAGCCGTCAAGGCCTCCCCAGGGACATCCCCACCATCCACCTGCCCCAGGAGGAGCCAGGGCGCCGTGGAGCCAAAGCCAAGGAGCCAGGGCAGGCAGCCGACAGCCAGGAAGGCAGCTCCTTCTACCAGACTGTGCAGGAGCAGGGCAGCACCCGGCGCATCTCTGCTGAGAACCCCCTGGCCAGGGCTGACCCCAGGAACCTGGGCCTGCTGCCCGCGCTCCGCCTGGAGATGATCGACCAGGCCATGGGCCGGCGGAGGGAGAGCGCGGACCAGGGCTACCCTTGCCGGAGGATGAGCCCCACCAGCCCCCCAGGCTGCAGCACTTCCCCACTGGAGGGGAGCAGCCCCCAGGAGCTGGACAGCCATAGCTGTGCCATGGGCCGCTGATCCCTCCTCCCTGTAGCTCGCTTGCTATGTGCTTTCCTCTGCCACTTT